CTTCTCTGCAGGGACCTTCCCCCTGGGCAGAGACAGCACCTGCCGGCTCCCTCCCGCCCCCTCATAAAGGGCTCTTAGCACACCTGTCCCTTATGGGGGACAATCTGTTTGCCTGTTTGTGTCTAAGAAAGTGCCATTTATTCTACTCTCCCTTTTTATAATAAGCTCCTTTAGGATATAATTAAGGCCTGGTCTCATCTAGAAACTCCCTTGTGTAGCTAAAGGGCAGCTCAGTGAAAGTGGTGGTGGTGGTGATGTAGAAGAACTGAGGTTCAGGTAGAGGCAGGGAGGGTGAGTGCATTCACAGGTAGAAGGGGGAGCTGAACAGCGAATTCTACTGAAATAAACCACTGAACCCTGCTCTCTAAACCCAGAATCTCTCCAAACCAAAGTTGTTTTGTAAAACAGAGGTTATAATGTTTGTTCGTTGTCTTGCTTCAAGCATCTGTTTGTTTCTGTGCAAGTTGCCTTGTTTTCTCTCCCTTTATCGTAAACCTGCCCTTTGGCTAGAACTAATGTCTCTGCTGGGGAGAAACTCGCTTGTTGGTGAAAAGGGAGCTCTGGTGAAATTTCCCAAGAGTGAAATCCAAGAACCCCACACTCTAAGCCCAGTGTCAAATAGACATCATGAACATCTTCCCGGCTCTGGGAAGTTAGCCCTGCCCAGGCAGCCCAGAGGCCTGGGAGTGACCAGCCCCCATGGCGCCTTCCTCATGAGAGAGCCCATGGACACGGGAGGCCGTCTCCCCTGGTCAGGACAGCGCCCCAGCCCCTGCTCGGGGGCCAGAGGCCAGCGCTGGTCAGTGAGGAGGGACAGGGTCATGGACAGAGAATGCCTGACTTAAGTGACCTGGGGCAGCTGGAATGTGCTTTGGGGCTGTTTTCCCATTGCCCTATGTGAGAGAGGCCACTGCAGTCTCACTCCAGCTCCTGGGCTCTTACCTGAGCTGCATCAGAACCGCCCAGAAGCTGCTTTCAAACCGCGCTGGGCCTCGCTTTCAAGGTGTGTGAGTATGTGCAGGGTGAGGGGAATAATTTACCTGGCTAGAAGCTGCTGTTTTTTCTGCCTGTTCTGCCCCCAACTCTGTCTCTGGTGAAGCCTCTCACCACCCCTGCACCTGTGGCCCGTACCCCAGAGCAGGAAAGTTGGGGACTGCAGGAAGGATGTCACCTGCTGTACTGAACCTCACGCCTAGTCACTACCCCGGCCCTGGCTTCCAGCATGTTCCAAGGCAGTGCTCCTGCTCCTTCCTGCCAGCAGGTTCCAGAGGCCTCAGAGGCTCACCTGGCTGCCCTTCACCTGAGAGAGGCGTTCGGGTAACACTGCCCCCTGGTGGCCACAGCGGAACGACACAGCTCTCTCTGGCCCCTCAGTGTCCACTCACCCAGGGAGGCTGGGCCTCTGCCCCCTGGAGAGGCCACTGCAGTCTCACTCCAGCTCCTGGGCTCTTACCTGAGCTGCATCAGAACCACCCAGAAGCTGCTTTCAAACCGTGCTGGGCCTCGCTTTCAAGGTGTGTGAGTAGGTGCAGGGTGAGGGGGATAATTTACCTGGCTAGAAGCTGCTGTTACTTCAGGGGTGGAGGACCCCAGCTTGAGCACCCCTGCCCGGGGCCAGGGCTCTGCTCTGTGGGACGCTGAGGGGACCAGCTCCTGCCAGGCACCACTGCTCAGTCTGAGGGCTGACGGCGCCCCCAAGGGCGGGAGTGAGATTCTCAATTACAGGCGGGGCCTCGTGGGAGAAGCCAGGTGTGTGAATCATCTACAGTCCAATGGGATCTGACTCTAATTTGGGGGGCAGAGAATGACAAGTTGTTTGAGGCATCCAGGTTACTGGTCTGTGACCTCGACTTCCCAGCACAGAGGGTATCCCGGTAAGCACCACTATTGTACCTCATAGTTGCTAAGTCCCTGGAATCAAGTAACCATCTGCAGGCCCCGCCCCATCTGCTGGCCCCTGTGTCCACCTGGTGGCTTCTCTTGGGCCCAGCACACCGCCCAGCACAGCTGCACCCTGGCTCCTGGCCCCAGAGGAGCCTCCTGCCCAGGATCCCTATTGTCCTAGTGGTCTGGGGGGCCACGGAATCATCAGACCCTCTGGTTCTGCCCCCAAGAGCTCCTGCCTCACACAGGCCCTGCTCCCGAGGAAGAGATGCGGTCCTCACCCCTTCTGTGGTTCTGCTCCGGCACCACCTTCCTCTGTGGAGGAGACCAGTGCTGCTCTCACTGCTCCCAGGAGCCAAGCAGGCCCGGCCAGAATCCTTAATGCCCAGGGTGTCCACTGCCCTGTTCTGGCCCCATCAGCCTGGTCTCCAAGCCCAGACACTCTCCTGGCCAGGCATACTTGCTGGCTGCTTCCCCAGCTCCCTGGGAGGTTCAGGGGACCCCATCTGAGGTTCTGATTTCAGAGAATTCACTTGTCTAAAGTCTGAAGTTGTTGCCTACGATGAGATATTTGAAAGGGAGAGACCACTCTCCCTCCACAACTGTTATTATAGTATATTTTGTTTGTGACATTAAGTACTTATATGCTTAATTAATGTTAAAACTTATCACGGGTATACAGGACAGGAAAACACAGCTTGCACAAGATTATGTAAGAAAAAAATTTTCAGACATCACCTAGGGATTGGCATCACACCCCAGTGGGCACCCCACCCCTCCCCCAGGACAAAAGAGGGCTGGAGTATCCCTGTCACACCCTGGTCAGTGCAGCTGCAGCCAGTGTCCCCACCCTGGCCAGGCCCTGACCCAGGAGCCCAGAACTGTGTCTGCGGAGAGGTGGAATTCCAGGTGGGCTGTTCTGTGACCCAGGCCA